CTTGTGCAATAAAGTACTATTTTGATTATTGTCTCCATGGGCCGGTTTTGAAAACTCAAAAATGTGAGTATGAAAATAACATTTTATATATATATATATATATATTAAATGAATTTGCTTAAAAAAGAATATTGACTCTATTGGTTGTTTTACGATTTTTACCAACCTTTAATTTTTCGTATCGATGTTAAGTCTTGACATTTTTACTAGGTTAGTGTAACTCATTTCCCTTATTTAACTATTTCAGATCGTGTATACAAAAATTCGAATCCTGAACAGCAAAAAGGTTGCGACTAAAAGTTGTCTCCTGCACCCCATGAGAGTTGTCCGACGGAGGTTAACCCTACAGGATTTTAGTCACGTTTTTTTTTTTTATTTCTGTTATTTTAATTTTTAAAAAAGAATATTCTCGTAATCCTATTGGACATTCTGATTTACTGTGTAAGGAATGTAAACTCTAAACTAATAACTGTTTCCATTATTATTTTATCAATTCAATAATTTTTTTTCTGAGTATTGAGCCTTTACATTTTTCATCATTCATTTATTTTATATATCTTATATATACATCTTTCATTAAAAAAGTGTGACAACTTTTTTATTTTTTTATTATAATTCTTTATATTTGTATATATTTTAAAAAATGATATCTTATGTGCAATACATATTGAAAATCTAATTTTTATAATAATATTTTAAAATAATAGTCTTAAAAATATCTCATGGATACTTTTGTCATTGCAATAAAAATATTTTTAATTCTAATATAAAAAATATCGTGCAAACATACCCTTACCAACAATTTATTTTTTTAAAGATATATTAATCATTAAAATTAAAACCTTACTTTTCAAAATTTCCACCTTTTAGATGTGTGTTTGGCTTGGTAGAATTAAATGATACCTCGTGAGCCGTGCATTAAGTTATTTCACTTTCAAGGATCTGTTTAGTAATTCGTTGTAGTAACTGGAAAAAAAAAACGACGTCATTTTGAGATGGACGGGCAGGAAGAGAGGAAAAAAAAAGAAAAGAGAAAAGAGAAAAGAAGAAAAATGAGGAAAGAAA